GGGGGGGGGGGGTGTTGTATGGTTTTGAGAGGAATTTGCCGCGTTGGGAAGAAATTTTCCTCGACTGTTGGCTTTTCGCGTGATTTTGCCTGTTTCATGTGTAATGTACTATACCCCTCCCCCTTACCTCTAAGCATCTTGGACGGAAAAGTTTAAGTGAGAAACTGCAAAATGTGGGAAATTGGTAGGTAGGTGTGATGCGGAAGGAAGGGGGGTCTATCGAGACCTTCAGGGGTCGCACTAACCCGCTCTCTCGAGCAGAGAATAGATGTGTTTTAGGCACATAGGGGGGTCAGCCTATTCCTTTCGAAACTAGCCCGTGCCATGGCGTCAAGAACTGGTGGAGACGGGCTTCCACCGCATCAAAACGCACGCTCGCAGGACGCCTCACCCCACGCTCCGTTAGGCGCTATATGTGGCTCAGTTTCTAAACAGTGCCAGAAAAGGGGTTTCTGGTGGACATCTAGGAGAAAGAGCTCACATACCTGATTCTTATCCAATTCGCAATTCTCGTATTCACGTTCTCCTTCGTTTTGGAATGTGACGATAACGAAACCGACGAAGATGTTCATCATGAAGAAAGCTAAAATCGAAATCTTAGCTAAGCGGTAGGACCATAGAGTCCCGAGTGATGGCGCTCACATGGCAAATGAAACCGTACTGAGTACGATGATCAGAAAAATCACTCATTCAAACTTTCTGCAGAACAAAAAAAAATGATACCTATGACAATGATGAAAGCAATGAAGAACAGAGCGACGGCTTGACGACTATTGTGCACGGGGCCATGGTCTTCTTCGTTTGAGTTGATGGCAACGTACAGTAAGCTGAAAGCAAGTGTATAGTTCTAATAGCAACAGTTTTCCATGAAAACTTAACAAGTAACTGAAGTTCTATTAGGTATTGGAAAACATTTAAAGGTATTGGAAAACATTTTAAAAAGGAAAAACCCAGTAAACATTAAAATGCTCTCAAAAATTTTAAAGGAGAGAAGTCATAACTTCCATCTCTTTTACGAAACGTCTGCAGCGGAACCTCGGCTAACTATTCCCCAATACATTTCGTTATCTTTCTCAACTAGACTGTTCACTTTTTATTTTTCCTCTACCTTACGGATGATAGTCCCTAGGCACTGGTAATGACTCAACATTCTGCGCCATAATTGAGTGTGCCTGTATTTTTTCAAAATTTGTTTTCATGGCGCCTTTCGTGCGATAAAAAATTAAACGAATATTCAATATAAAGGCTCTGTCCACGCTGATCGCGTGGTACAGTCCAACACTACAGTCCAGCCTAAACAGTCATGATGCGCCTTTCTACTCCGTACTTGTCATATTGGAAGGAGAAGCACCGCAATAGCTGACTTTCTCCGCCCACATGATCATCGTGGACTGTTTCTTAAGTGTTTTCCAAAGAAGTGGGAAATTCGAACCAGTTATCCTATTTGACGTTGTCGGCTCAACTGTCTTTAGAAGAACCCTGTAACGACTGCATTCACGCAGTTCCAAACCGAGCGCGTTCTACCGTTGGGAAAAGAAAAAATAAAAAAAAATACGACCTCGCCCCATGAGTTCTCCTTCTGCCGTCCGTCCTCCCCATTCTAGCGTAACAGAAATCAACTATCGAAAAACGTTTTTCAGGCCTAACACGACTACGCTCTCCCCAGCGACCAAATACCCCCCCCCTCTCTGCGAAGACCTGCCCTGAGGAGCGGGGTGGGGAGGGTATAGTGCACATGAAAAAAAAACGGAGTAAATTCAACTACCGTGAACATTTCTCTCGGTCTTTTTCCCCAACTATCGAATGCGACCCCTCGCTGGGGGCATGCTCTTTGAACAGGTGGACAAAGGTAAAGCTAAGGCGCGGAAAATGTAATCTCTCCACCAGAAGGATGGAGAATAAGGTGTCATCGCTGAGAGCCATCGAACACACGACCTTCTTCGAAAGGGGTGCCATGCCATTGTTGATGAGGGGGAGGGTCACAGGCACAGCATAACTCGGTTGAACTCAAGAGGAAGAAGTGAAACACAAGAGGAAGGAGTGAGTAGACAGCTATATTTGTCAGAGGCAAGTATAATACTGAAGGGACGCTGCTACAGTGTGGAATGCCAAGCAGGAAGGGAGGGGTCGTATTCGACCCGACAAATTTATTTCTTAATTCTCTCTGTTTCACGAGTGCCAATCGTGTCGTACGTACCGTATACCGGTCCATAGCGTCGGGAGGATTCCATTGTCCATTTGGGAAGAGAGCTCATATTAACTCGTCGTCTTGGAAGAGAGGATCTTATTTACCTTCCCGTTTGACATGTGCAGCAAGATACCCCTCCCCTCCTCGCCCAATCCCCCACCCCTGGCCCCAGGAACCTAGGAATTCAGGAGGTAGCGTTGGAAGGGTGGGTCATATTTTGCGAAAACTTTCCCCGCGACAGGAATGCCCTGATCACCTAGGCGAACAAATGATCGGCTTAATTTTCAAATCGTATACAATAATAATCATCACACCTACCCATGGTGCAATATTTTGATGCGAAAATCCATTTTCCGACAGCGGAGGTTGATTATAAGGCCAGAGAAACCAGATATCGTGAGGATTTCAGTAGCGCTCTATCATTCAAAGAATCTAGCTTTTTCGAAATTCAGTCGAAAAATCGTTTTACTATTTTTCTTCCTTTGCGGTTGCCGTGCAAATTCTATAAAGCCCATGAGTCATGTAAGAAATTTTTGGCGATGAAATATTGCTATAGCGAATTGAGGACGTTTTCACGTATCCATGGGGAAACTCTTTGGATGAATTCAAAAAGAGCAATGAAAAATTGAATGCAATGATACGAAGCGCTTCGAGAAAATGGAAACATAAAAGCAGTAGGGAGCAAAACAATATTCAAGTGAGAAATAAAAGGTAGTACGAACTCAGGCCATCCTTCGAAGGTCGACACGACGAACAGTGACACCATCGCATCGCCGACGTTGTCGAAATTGAAATCATTGTTCGACCAGACGCGTTTTTTCGATACAGGCTTCGTCGGATCGCCGTCTTCGTAGTGGATGTATTCACCCCTGAAAATCAGTCGATGAGTGAGCAGGAGAGACAAAGAGAGT